TGCATTAGTTGAATTGCTAAAACGTATTGTTTGTTGCGCATTAGTCTGAATTGATAAGTGTATTGTTTGTTGTGCATTGGTCGAATTGATAAGCGTAATGTTTGTTGTGCATTGATTGAATTGATAAGCGGATTGTTTGTTGTGCATTGATTGCATTGATAAGCGTAATGTTTGTTGTGCATTGGTTGAATTGATATGCGTAATGTTTGTTGTGTATTGATTGAATTGTTAAACGTATTGTTTGATGTGCATTGGTTGAATTATTAAGCGTATTGTTTGTTGTGCATTGGTTGAATTTATAAGCGTATTGTTTGTTGTGCATTGGTTGAATTGTTAAACGTATTGTTTGTTGTGCATTGGTTGAATTATTAAGCGTATTGTTTGTTGTGCATTGGTTGAATTTATAAGCGTATTGTTTGTTGTGCATTGGTTGAATTGATAAGCGTAATGTTTGTTGTGCATTAGTTGAATTGATAAGCGTAATGTTTGTTGTGCATTTGTTGAATTGATAAGCGTCTTGTTTGTTGTGCATTGGTTGAATTGTTAAGCATATTGTTTGTTGTGCATTGGTTGAATTGATAAACGTATTGTTTGTTGTGCATTGGTTGAATTGTTAAACGTATTGTTTGTTGTGCATTGGTTGAATTGTTGATCCCATTGTGTGTTGTGCGTTGTTGAACATATTCTTTTATTCTATAGTATGTATATAGATGGTCCATTTGGAAGTCCAAGCCAAGATATACTGAAATACAATGTTAGCGTATGCATTGCTGGTGGGGTAGGAGTGACGCCGTTTGCTGCCATTTTAAACAAACTCAGGTACAGTTTTTCCCCCGGACTACTTCTCATTATTTTAAAAGATCGTGACAATTCTGAGTGAACTTTACGTGACTTTAAAACATTCCTTATATATACCATCCAACAGACGTGCATTTCACAACATGCGTCGAAATAGGAGTGCATTTGGCCATTCGTTTGGAACCCCAACTATTATTTAATTAGTACGTCGCATGAGATCTTTATTCACGGATCTAACTACATATGATCTTTATGCGAGGTGTCCATCATATGCGACCTTTTTCGGGTTCGCACCATATGTGATATTTATCCACAGAGCCCATTATATGCGACCCTTTTTTGGGTGCCCATCATATGTGATCTTTTTCTGCCAGTAGCCACCATATGTAATATTTACACATGGTGTTATACAATTGCAGGTATAACTCTGATGACCCTAAAAAACTACGTCGTGTTTACCTTATATGGATGTGTAGAGATGTAGCTTGCTTCCAGTGGTTTTCAAACCTGATATTTGAACTACATACAAAGGTAAGTACATAATCCTACGTCATAGCCTAACTCGGACACATTGTAATTTCAGAATATGCTGCACTCCCGGAAAAAAAGTTGTATTCCCATTGATGTGGTGTACGAGTACACTGTTTGATGTGGTGTACGAGTACACTGTTTCAGCATTTATTATGAGGCCGAGTGGCTGATTCAATATTCATCGACAGATAACAAATTATAGATACTTTTAGAACGCAGAAAAAGTCTCATGACACAAGGCTTTGATCCCCTTCAATTGAAAGAAATGTGCTTACTGGTTCGTGACCAGTTATTGCTTAAATAAAATGATTTTACCACGGTATTATAAGATTTATTGTATGATTTTTCATTTCTTGTACTGAGAATTATTGTGTTTGATTTACTTCGAAGTTATGGGAGTGCAATAAGCCAGATTACTTCAACGTTCAGCTGTATCTTACTGGTGACCAGCATTACTATGGAGATATGCCGCAACAGAATAGTGACATAATGCGCAAGAATGACTTCCTAAATCACAGGATTACCTTTGGTAGACCGAGATGGAAATCTGTCTTTAAAGAAATTTCAAAAATGCACCAACAGTAAGTTGAAATGTTTTTTTTTCTTTGAGGGTGCTGTAACAGAACAGCCATTTCCTGTATTGTGAAGGGGTTCTTGTATGTACTATAAAAACTTCCTAGATTGGACATCTGGTGTACTGTCAAACTCCCTTCAACCATTCACTGTATGCATTTATATAGAGGGCTAGTATTACCGAGAAATAGACTGGAAGCAGCAATAAGGGAATACCTATATGAATTGACATTTTTGAATAATTTGAATAGTTTTAGAATACTATTTAGTATGTTTGGCTGATTCAATGTGATCTTTATCACAAGTCATATCATTCCACATATATATCATTGGATTTTTTTATACAAATCATATATGTGATCATCTCGGTTTCATAGATGATCTACAAACTATGTTTTTGTTTTGTTGATGATAATAGGTCAGAAGTCGGAGTGTTTGTGTGTGGCCCTCGCAGCTTGTCCCGTTCAGTGCACAAACGATGTAACCAGAGCAACAAGTACAACACGCGGTTCATCTATCACAAAGAAAGCTTCAGTTAATGATATTAACGATGGTACACAACTACATTGTTAATAAAAAACAAACACAATAAATAAAATAAAAACACAATTTCCAATTCGAAATTATGCAGGAATTGTGAAGAGTTGTGTGCTACTAATTCGAAGTCAATTTTTTTGGAGGTTCGTCCTGAAACCGCAACGATTGCACGGCGTATACGTCATCTTGTGTCGCGTATTGTGGGTTAAAGAGAGTGTTCTATTTTACATTTTAAAAACTGAAATATATTTAGTATATAACTTAAAATACCTCTATATATGTAATTGCTATTTTTAGTACGTTTTACCATATTTAAAATTAAACTATTTCATATACTTCTTTGGCATAGTCGTGTTGAATTTATGTGACTGATTCGCATTCTAATGCGAGTCTATTAAAGTATGGCGGACTATGTTTTGCAAGGTAATGTTATTGTAGTGAAATGACGCACGTGATACACTAAACCGCGAAGAAATAACGTTATGTTAACGTATATACCCTCGGTAGTTGGGAAAGAAACATTTAACACTAATTTATCTGAAAGGGGTTCCTAACATTTCCGTTCATCCTGTATTCTGTTGAATATTTCAATATGCACTCCTATGAATTGAGTGCTAGACTTTTGATCAAGATCTGCCGCTAATAGAAAATATGTTGAGTCCAAAGTTATCAAATCAAAAACAACACATAAAATACACTTCAAAAACAAAGATTGCAGTGTATGAAGATGTATTGAACAGTATTGTTGACTTCTCTTTCCACTGAACTCCAACTAACTATTTAAGTTGAATTGTATACAAAGTAGAGCTTGCAACATGATAGCTATTCATAGAAGGCGTTTTTTTACTTTTCAAATAAAACAGTAGTCACACAACGCATATAATAAGGTAGTTCACATTTGTCTCAGTGAAACATTAATTTTTGACAGACACCTGTACAAAATACTTGGACAAAAGCCAGCCAGATTTTCTGTTATCTTGCATGTTTTATGAATCTATTCACGTCTAAATGCAGTACTTTTTTCTGAGATTAGGCATTTGTTTTTATACTAAAATATCTAAATGAAAATGAAAGCTGAAAATTGGTGTCCCTTAAAATAATTAAACAAATTAGGCACCAATGTATTTGTAAGATATTTACATCAATTTGACATTTGGTAGACTGCTTTCCCACTGTTATTCAACCTTAAAATTTGTTTGTATTCAAAATGAATTATGACAATGCATATTTATATTGAAACAAACTATGATAAAGGGAATAATATTATATAACAAAGGGCAAGGTCACCAGAGTTCAACTATGTTTTTCAAGCTATTAAAACCTGGAATTACGCGGGACATTTCGAACTTCAAACACACATTTAGTTGGCTTTATACGTATTATTGTTTGCTGTTATAAAGATTGAATTATGTATGACATTAATAAACAATATTTCACTGAAATGTGATTAAAAAGCCACTTGAGTTGCAAAAACAGTTATCAAATTCCGCGTATAAACACTAGTGTAAAAAGGGGGCGGAGCACTATTTTAGGCAAATTCCCTGGGGAAAATTTAGCCAGTAAGGCGTCATGTGACATTTCTTGCTTCCCGGCGTTCCCTGCGAAGAGATGGTGAATTGTTCGAGTTACGGACATCGAATTACGAACACATCGAGTTACAGAAATGACCGCGCCATATTTTAGAAACCACGCCCAAATTGTAACTCGATGTTCAAATAACAGTTAACAGAACTTCGAGTTAGGGTCAACATACATTTGTTTTGTGTTGAACGTCGACATTTAGTAACTCAAACTTTAAATAACAGTTAACCAAATTTCGAGTTACGGGCAACATATATTTTTTGTTTTGTTTACGTTGTTCGTAACTCGATGTCTGTAACTCGAACATCTCCCTTGCGAATGACAAGTAGGCAGGTAACGAGTAATCGCCATATTGTTCCCCTGGGCCGGGAAAACATTCTAATATTCGATTTTCGTAAATAGGTCTGTACTACTGCAATAATGCCATGCCCATGCATGGAC